CCCCAGCAATATGGCTGGCAGGGGAGCCCGGAGCCCCGCACACCCCGGGGGGGGGGTCCTGAGCTGCGGGGTGAGGGGTGGGAAGGGGGTTTTAGGGGGGGTTGGGGCTGTTAGAGTGGGGTTAAAAGGGGGGGTGTTTGGGTCGGGAGGGGATGGGGTGCGGGCCCCACTCACCATCTGCGGGGGGTGGTGGCTGCTGGGGATGTTGGTCTCCTGGAAGAAGGCGCTCAGGGCTGTCTGTGGGGACAACGCTGTCAGCTCCAGCACCGGACACCGGGGGGGACACAGCACCGTGCCCCCACCGCGGTAACACCCCCCCCCGCCCCCCCAACCCGGCGGTACCACCGCAGGGTGCACCCATAGGTGCTTCCCCCCTGCCTCCCAACGCGGCCTAACGCGGGGAGGGGGGCTGGTGCTGCCCTTCACCAGCCCACTCAGGATCGTGCCATTCCCCCCCGCTCCACGTCGGGGGCCCTGTGGACGGGGTACAGCCCGCTCTGTGTTTACAGCCTACCCCCCCACCGGCCCCCGGCCCGGGCCGCGCTCGGGTTACGGACAGGGTATAAATAGCCCCGGGGGAGCTCGGAGCCGGTTCCCCCCCCGCCGCTGGGGGGGGGGAGGGGGGCGCAGCGGCCCGGCCACGCGTGTCGGTGGGCCGCGGATGGGCCTGCACGCCCCGCCCCGCGCCTCTGCGGGAGCCCCGGTTCGGGGTGTCCCGGTTGAAGGGGGAGAGAGGGGGGGTTCGGTCCCGGTTGAGTGCGGGGGGGGGGGTCCCGTACCTCGAACTGCCAGTGGGCCGCCTGCAGCAGCTGCTTGGCCTGGTCGGCGGCGCACCCGGCCGCCAGCACGAACTGGTTGATCATCACCTGGTGCCGCAGCTCCTCCATGTTCACGGACATGGCCGGGCGGCCCCGCACGGCCTCGGGCCGCGGGGCGGGGGGGGGCACACAGAGAGCACCGGGATCGACCGGGGGGGGGCGGGCGCGCACCGGGAAGGCCCCGCCCCCGCGCGCTGATTGGCTGCCGCCGCGCCGCCCGCCCCGACGGGCGTTCGGTTCGAATCTTCCAGCTGCCCCGGCGCCGCGCCCCGCCCCGCCGCCTTCCCATTGGCGGACGCTTGTGTTTTGGCTGCAGGCGGCGCTGCTATTGGCGGGTGAGCCGTGGGGAGGGCGGGGTGACCGCTGATTGGGTGCGTGGTGGCCTGCTTTCCGGAGGTGCTGTGACGTCACGTTCATTGAGGAGGTTCATTGATGGCGAGGGGTGCGCTCCGCAGCCTGCGGGACCCGGGGCACGGCCCGCTCCGAGCGGAGGGACCCGCACAGGCTGGAGCCAACGGGATGAGGGTCAGGAGGCAAAGTGCGGGTCCTGCCCGTGGGCCACAGCAACCCCTGCAACGCTCCAGGCTTGGGAAGAGCGGCTGGAAACTGCCCATGGACCAGGAGCTGGGGGTGCTGATTGATGGAGCTGAACGGGAGCAGCTTGTGCCAGGCAGCCAGGGAGACCCCAGCATCCTGGCCTGGATCAGCACCAGTGCGGAAGCAGGGCCAGGGCAGGGATTGTGCCCCTGGTGAGGCCGCACCTGGAATCCTGTGTTCAGCTCTGAGCCCCTGACTCCAAGAGAGACATTGAGGGGCTGGAGGGGGGCCAGAGAAGGGAATGGAGCTGGTGCAGGGCCTGGAGCACAGGGGTGATGGGGAAGGGCTGAGGGACCTGGGGGGTTCAGTGTGGAGAAGGCTCAGGGGGGACCTGATGGCTGCCTCCAACTGCCTGACAGGAGGATGGAGCCAGGAGGGGCTGGGCTCTGCTCCCAAGGAACAAGGGATGGGACAAGAGGAACCGGCCTCAAGCTGCACCAGGGCAGGGTTAGATGGAGCTGAGGAACAATTCCTGCCCCAGAGGGTGCTCAGGCATTGGAACAGGCTGCCCAGGGCAGGGCTGCAGGCACCGTCCCTGCAAGTGTTCACCCTCAGTGCCATGGGTTAGGGGTGGCCTTGGCAGGGCTGGGGAATGAGTGGATTGGATGAACTTAAAGGGCTTTTCCAACCTGGTTGATTCTGAGATTCTGGGGTGTCCCCTATTAACTCTCCATCACCCCTGGGGCAGGGACCCCAGCCTGAGACCAGGAGTGTGGTCAGGCCCCCAGGTTTGGGGTTCTGGGGGTTGCTTTGTAATACTGCGTTTAAAACCCTGGTGACCCCAAGGCTCAGCTGCAGCCTGCAAGGGTGAGAACCCCCGAGGGTGTCCCCCCCACTGCTGGGTTTGGGGAGCGGAGGCACTGGTGCGACACACGCCTGGGAAACAGGAGAAGTGCCTTCTAAACCCAAATGAATAAAGCGGGGCTTTGCCCACTGATGGTGTGAAAACACTGAGCTGGAAAGCGCCGATAGGGGTTTGGATGTGATGGGGCTGACTGGTGGGTGAGGAGAGGGAAGGAAGAGGTGGAGGGAGGGAGGCTCAAGGCAGCTCCTTGCCCCCAGCAGCCAGGGTATGAGGGCCCCAGTGGGACACCTGTGGGGTGCCTATGGCTGTGGGGCAGGCAGGCAGCGGGCAAACTGTGCCAGGTGGAGGTGTGGAAAGAGCAGTTCCAGAAGCTGGGATCCCAAACCCGCCTGCCTCCTGCGTGCAGGCCTGGAGAGCACCCAGGACCTCCTGCTTGCCAAAAACACCCACATCAGCATCAAGCTGAGTTAGCAAAGCTGTGAGCGACCGGCCCCGGGTGCAGGCTGCCTGTAAATCCCATGGGAATGCTGCTTGTGAGCCCTCAGTGATCTCATGCAGGCAACAGGGACCTGAGGCTGCGGTAAAACACAGCGTTAGTGGAACCTGGGAGACCAGGCAGGACCTTCAGAGCCTGGCCTGGGTGCAGGCCATGAGGCTGCTGCACACAGTTTGGAATTCCCACCTGGCAAACCAGGTGGTGGAAAAGCCCCTTTTGGGGCAGGATTTGCAGGGAGGAAGATGCTGTGAGCACAGGGTGCCCAGAGGAGCTGTGGCTGCCCCATCCCTGGCAGTGTTCAAGGCCAGGTTGGACACAGGGGCTTGGAGCAAGCTGCTCCAGTGGAAGGGGTCCCTGCCTGCGGCAGGGGTTGGAGCTGGAGGAGCTTTAAGGTCCCTTCAACCCAACCCAGTCTGGGATTCTGGGATTTGCCTTTGGCCCTTACTGGTCTGATCCTGCCTGAGATCCTCTTCCACCCTCCCTGTGCTGCCACCCCACTGGGACCCCATGCAGGGTCTGGGCTCCTGCTTCCAGCCAGGAGCTGCTCCGGGAACCAGCCTGGGGGCTGATGCCACGTTAGGGCTCAGCACCCACTAACGAAGGGGCCACCCCCTCTGAAGCCATTGCCACCCTGCAGGGCTGCATGGGGCTGGGGTCAGAGCCCTGGGCTGGGTTTGTCAGCACATCCCAGTGACTGTGGAGGAACTGCAGCACCGGGTGTATGGGCAAACATTTGCTGCTCAGTCTCCATTGGTCAGACTGCTGTGCCCTCCCGTGCCTCAGTTTCCCTCTTAGCATGAGGAGGCAGGAGCAGGATCCTCTTTCCCTGCCAAACACACACCAAATCCCACAGCTTGAGCGCTGCAGCCTTGTATCTTGCCCAGCTGCGGGTGCGTTTTGGGGTTAAACATTGCTTTTTTCCCCGTGGGTTGGATTCCCCCTCCCTGCTGGGCTTTGTCCTGGCTCTATGCATGCAGGATGTGGCCAGGCCTGGGAGGACCCTGCCCTCGAGGCCGGATCAGCGCCCGTTCCTGCCTGCGCTCCCGTGCTCCACCGCGGCTCTGCCCTACAAACCCTCTGCTGCAGCACAGACACAAAACCCAGCCCGAGAGCTGTGCGTGCACACAGCAGCGCCGTGCGGGGCCCGGATCTGCACCGGGATAACCGGGAATGAGGATGTGCGCTGAGCCCTGCAGCGTGCTCTCTGCTGCTCCGGCTCCCAGGCTCGCGTTTCCCACTGGCAGCTCAGCAGCGCTGGGTGTGCTTCCGATGATCCATGTGCACAACGGGCTCCCCAGAATGTGTTGGGGTGAGCAGGGATCAGCCCCCCCCCAAGGGCTGAACAAGGCTCCTGGTTGATGCGGCCCTCGATTCCTTTTTGGCCAGTGCTGGCACCCAGCAGGGCTGTGACATCCAGCAGTGTGGACCCTGGCACTGCGGGTGACACTGGGGCTGTGGGGCCTGGTGTGATGGCCACAGGCTGAGAACTGGGGTACAAAGTGCTCCCGGGTGACGGTGGCTGCTCCTTGGTTTGGCTTTTCTCAGCCAAAAGATGAGGGAGGGTGAGGGATGCGTGGGGTCCCTCTGTGAGGGGGGAGCCCCGGGGGCGGCTCCAGGACACGGGGCAGCGGATGCCTCCCCGCACGTCTCCTGGTTGATATTTATAGCACTAGAGTTATCAAGTCGAATCGAAATCATGTGATGCTCCACTAACTTCCACTGAGGACACCACGGTTTAAGCAGGCACCCAGAGGGTCCCTCCTTCACGTTCATCTCCAAGGGGAGGATGTGAAGGTGCTCCTCAGCATAAAGCTGGGGGACCTGGGGGAAGCTGGGGTGCACTGGAATGGGCAGGCAGAGGCTGCTCCCGGCAAACGCAGCAGAGCTGGGAAGGGGCGGGATGGAGGAGATGGAGGTGGGCACTGACAGGGGGGTTAATTCCACCCCCTTCTGAGTGCTGTGCAGCCCCGCAGGGGTCCCCGGCTGGCCCTGGGGGTCCCCATGGTGGGCTTGCAGCTCAGTGTCACGGGTGAGGCGGTGCCACTGGGGGGGCAGGTGAAGGGTACAGGGGGGTGACACCGGCGGTGGCAACGGGGGCACGCGTGCGCTACGGGGAGGGAGCAGGTATCGGCTGAGGGGGGGACAAGGGGCTGGGGTGATCCCGGGGCAGCGCCTGGTCCCCCAGCCCCGCGGCATCCCCGGGGCGGGGCGGGGCGGGGAGAGGCGGGGGAGCCCGGTCCTGCCCGGCCCCGCATTGGCGCAGCCCCGGCGCTAGCGCGGAGGCGGGACCGGGCGCGGCGCAGAGCCGAGGATGCTGCGGGCGGGGGCCGCCGTCGCCAGCCTCGGTGCCGGTCCCGGTGCCGGTCCCGGTGCCGGTCCCGGGCGGGAGGGAGCCCCGGCGCATCCCGCCCGCTGAGCCCGGCCCGGCCCGGCCATGGGGGCTCTGACCAGCCGGCAAGACGCAGGCGTGGAGGAAGTGGATGTCCCCGCTAATTCCGTCTACAGATACCCCCCGAGATCCGGTGAGACCCGGGGGGGGGGGTCCGCGTCCCGGTGCCGCCGCTGCGCTGAGGAAGATAAGGGGCAGGGAGCGGGGCGGGGGGAGCCGGGCACGACCTTGCTCCGGTGGGGGATGTCCCTGCAGCCCCCGGAGCAAACCCCGACCGCAGGCAGCCGAGGGGCACCCTGAACCTACCCGTGTGGTGCCGTAGGGATGGGGTCACCCCTCGGGTCTCCTCCCTGGGTGCCCCTTTGCCAGCCCAACCCGACCCCTAAACTTGGCTGAGTTGATGCTAAATGTCATTAATGAATTATTATTAGTGATAATGGTAATTTTGGCCGTTGTCTGCAGCGCGGGGCTGGGGCTGGTTTTGTAACCGGTTGCTCCGGCGCTGGCTGCTTGGGGAAAACCTGGGTTTAAATTCCCGGGAGGCTGGGTGGGAGGGATTGGAGGGGACCCCTCCTTCCCAGGGCCCTGCCCCAGAGCAGCACCCCAGCCTCTGCCCTGGGGCGCCTTCCCCAAGCTCCTCTCCTGCCCGCGATGTCGCTCCCGCTCCCGGCCCTGCCTCAAACCTTGTGTGTGACCTTGGAAAATCCGTCCCTCCCCTCCAGGCCTCGGTGTTCCCTGCAAAGGGCCGGGAAGAGCCGGTGTCGGGTGGGGGGGGTTGTGGTGGGGAGAGGAGATGGAGCCGGGTCCTCGGGTGGGCAGCGCTTCCCACCTCCAAAACCCCCCCTTTCGCAGGATGCTGACCTGGAGCACCCGCGTGTGCGCAGGGATTGCCACAGGATCCTTGCGGCACTGGCTATTATTAACAGAGAACTATTTTGGTAGCTAATAGGATAAAGTAAGCCCTTGGCTCGTTAGTGCTGTGATAAATGACTTGCTAATTACAAATAAAGACCTCCTCAGGAAGCATTGCAGCCAGCACAACCCCTGTTCTTGTCCCGAAAGCCTGTGCTTGGCTTGATTTATTACTGTTATTTGAATTTGAAATGGGCTGGCACATCCATGGCGGTGCAGGTTAACCAGGACACTGCGGGGTGGAGATGGCTGAGCCTCAGCAGTGGGGCTCCCCCTGCTCCCCCTTTTCCATGCATTCAAGGCCTTTGTCACCTTGATTCTGGCTGAAGCTGGACCACCCCATCCTGGGTCTGCGCTTTGCAGGGGCTGTGGCTCTGTGCATTAAGGGTTTTGTCTTGAGCCCCCTTCTTATTTAGGGGCTCTTGAACTGTCTGGGTGCGGAGGGGTCAGTGCTGTGCAGCTCTAGGGGAGCAATTGCACCCAGCTGAGCACTTCCAAACTGATCTCAGCTGCAGAGGACACGGGGCTGATGCTTGGCTCTGGCTGTCAGGGAGAAGCCCGGGCTCTTGGGGTGCTCAGTGGGGCTGGTCCCACCGATGGGATGGGATGAGAGCAGTGCTGAGGGGATGGTCCTGGGGTCCTCAGGGAGAGGGGCCCGGGTGCCCTGGGATGCGCCAGGGCAGGATAGTGACCGCGGGAGATTATAGCTCTTAATCCAAGCAGGGATTTGCCTTTGGCGCTGCTGGCAGCCGAGGGGATGTGCTGGGAGTGGAGCCGGTTCCTCCCTGCAGCAGCGCTCCTCTTGCCTCCAATGCCGCATGGGAACAGCCACTGGCTTTGGGAGCGTGGCCCGGGGGGGTCCGTGCGACCCCAGGGTATTCCCTTCTCCCCCTGCAGATGTGGTTTGGCTGTTGGGCTGCAGGCTCGGTCGGTGCAGCCCATGGGAATAGGGCAGCCATGTCTTGTCCCAGGCGAGCATCTCCCCTGCATCATCCTAGGGCCCCATCCAGGCTGGGGGCAAATGGGATTAGTTAAACCAGCAGTTTGAAGCAATGGTTGGGATTTACTTTGGTGATTCTAATCTTGTGCTGGTAAAGGCAAGAGGAGGAGCAGAAGGGGGCTGTTTGTGGAGCCTGGCTTCCTGCCCCTGTCCCTGTCTGTGGTTGGCACTGGGAGGAGAGAACAGGAGCGGAGCAAGGGGCTTGGCCATGCAGTGACACCCCGGTCCCGGGGTCCCCATGCCAGGGTGGTGGCACTGCCATGGCACAGGGAGCAGCTCCGGGGCTGTGATGGGTGAGGGCTGATGCGGCAGAGCCTGGCTGGGGTTTGGCTTTGCCTCCAGCTGGCTCTGGCTGCCTGTGTTAGAGTGCAGTTAAATAAGCCTCAATGTGCCAGCTCACCCATGGGGTGCTCCGGGGCAGGAGCACCCATTGGTGGCTCAGGGGGTGATGCAGGACGCGTGTCACTGAGTGCCAGAGCCACGGACACACCCAGCGCACACCAGGTTCTGTGCCCATGGGGTCCTTGTCTCCCTTGGGGTATCCAGGCAAGGCGCACCCCTGGAACTCATGGGGACAAGGGGCTGACAGTGGCATTGGCAGTGGCTGGTGTCAGGTGTGTCCTGTTGCAGGACAGACGTGGATTGCCAGGAGCCTCAGGCCAGCTTGGTTTATTGCTTCTTCCCAGCAGCCACCCTGGTCAGCCCTTCCCGCATGCTCTTTGGGCCTCAGGAGTTTAAGATCTCATTAAAGCCTGGCTTTCCTTTGGCGATGTGACCATCCTGGATGGGCTTTTCCTTCCCCTGGGGACAGGTCTTGCTTAAGGCTTTATAACTAGCCAGTAATAAGGTGGCTGTGGCTGGGAAGGTGCCTCTCTCCTCTGCCACCCGCTGTGCCCATGGGGCCACCGGCACCCCAGGGCACAGCTTGAGGCTCCTGTTTAGTGGTGAAGCTTCTGGAGGACCTTCCCTAGGCTGCCTGCTGCAAGGGGGGGAGCTGAAGCCCCCCTGCATGGGGTGCCTGGGGACCCTGCAGCACCCAGGGGTGCTCCCTGGCAGGGCAATGGGGTGGCAGTGGTGCGTTCCTCACCCGCTCCCATCCTATGGCAGCCCCCAGCACCCACAGACCGGGGCTGGAGCCATCTCCGAGAGCCCCTGCCCCATTTTCCAGCTTTCCCCAGTGCTGGAGGAGCTTTCCTGCAGGTTTCAATGCCGTGTCCCCACCTCCTGCGCTCACCCCCAGCCAGTGCCAGGACAAGCTGCGGTTGGCCCCGTGGTGCCCCGGCCGTGCCGTTGCTGGCAGCCCTGCAGGCACTTTGCTCGTGGCTTGTCTCTTTCCACGTGGCCACGGCCTTCCCTGGGGAGCTGCCTATAAATTATGTACGTGGAAAATGGGACCAGGAAGCAGCAGGCATCAATAATAGATGGTTGATGGTTGATGGTTGCAGCATCCGGGCATCCCTGCGCCGTGGGGTAAAGCTCTACAGCCCCTCTCATCCCTCCTGCCCCCGTGGTTACATCCCTGCTCCTCCTCCCGCCGGGTTTTGCCTCAGGGTTGGTTCTGAAATGCAGGATTAAGGTCTGATCCAGCCCTGGGCACTCGCTGCATCTGCTGGAAGCCAACTGCAAGCTCTGCCTTCAGTCCGCACAAGCAGAGCTGCAGCCCAGACCCAAGCTCCTTTATCCAGAGCTTTAGTTTTGGGGTGTGCATGAGGGGCTATGGATGACTCCGTGCTCTTGGGTTTGGGGGTTGTGTAGGCTGGACCCCATCCCCATGGCCAGTGGGATGCAGTGTAGTGCCCATCCTGACTCCTGGTGCTTCTGCTCTCCCCATCCCTGTTCTCCCCTCCCTTTCCCTTCCTTTTCCCACCTCGAGGAGAAGTCTAGACCCTCCTGCCCCAGTTGGCCCCTGTGGGGCTGCTCCCAGCTCTGGGCAGGACATGCCCGTGTTTTGGCTCTGTGCAAAGGGGAGAAGGGTCCCTGGTCATTGCCTCGTGTTCACCGGGGCAATGTGAGCACTTTGCAGGGGGGTTTGAGCTTCTGGAGGTTCTACGCCCCCCCCAAATCCTCCTTCCTTCAGGTGAGCCCTTCCTAGGGAAGGCTGCGGGCTGAGAACAGACAGAACTCGGTTCAGGTGTGCTCTGCCCAGTGGCAAGGCTGTGCCTGCGGTCACGCTGCCTTGGCTGCACATGAGGTCTGTGATGCTGGGCAGGAGCAGCCCTGCCTGCGTGCCCGGTCCGTGCTGCCCCTTCCCGGCTCCGCGGGGGCTCCCAGGGCTTTCAGTGCTAGCACCAAAGGTCCATGGTTGAAGGTGGGGGTGACCGTGGGTGGCTCAGGCCAGGCCGGGGCTTGCAGGGATGTCCCGGGCAGGGAAGGGACACAGCCCTGGGTATGAGCCTGCTCCCGTTACATCCCTGCCTGCATCGCCTCTCCCCATCCCGGCTCCATCCTCCCAGAGTTCAGCCACCGGAGCCCGTGCAGGGTGGGTCAGGATCGGGGGGGATGCAGCAGGGAGGTGGAGGGGGAGGCAGCCGGGGAGGGGTCGCTTCCTGGCCAGCTCCTCCTTCCCCTCCGCCTGCTTCGTGTCTGCTCAACCCGAAAGGCTCCAGCGAGGTGCCCCTGGGGACAGAGCCACCTCTGAGCCGTCGCTGCGGGGGCTTTGTGCTGCTCCATTGCCCGGCTGGAGCCCGGTCCTCGCCCTGCGCTCAGGCTGTTTCTGGGTTTGCTTTCCAGGGAGCTACTTCGCCAACCACTTCATCATGGGCGGCGAGAAGTTCGACTCCACTCATCCCGAGGGATACCTCTTCGGAGAGAACAGCGACCTCAACTTCCTGGGGAACCGGCCCGTGGTGGTGGGCACCGGGGACACAGATGTGCCCCTTCCCAGTGCGATAGTGACTGTGTGTGTGTGTCATGGTGGGAGGCTGCTGGCTGCCGCCGCGCAAGGGCAGAACCAGCCAAGCACGCCTGGGGTGGCCCAAGTGGATTCTCTGATGTCTAATATGAGGGTTGGCTGCTTGCTCAGCCTGTCCTCCACTGGGCACTAACCCAAGTCTGCCTGCATCCACTCTACAGCAATGTAATCACAGAATCCCAGACTGGTTTGGGTTGGAAGGGGCCTTAAAGCTCCTCCAGCTCCAACCCCTGCCACGGACAGGGACCCCTTCCACCAGAGCAGCTTGCTCCAAGCCCCTGTGTCCAACCTGGCCCTGAACACTGCCAGGGATGGGGCAGCCACAGCTTCCCTGGGCACCCTGTGCCATTGTCACTGCTCTGTCTCCTGTGCAAGGGGTGAACAGGTTTGTGGGTGGTTGGGAACGGGCTGGGTGATTGTGTGACTGTGGGTGCTGCTCCATGCGGCTCCGTGATGTGGGGCATTGGATCTGCTCCTACTCTTCCAGCCCACAAGGGCTGCTTGCACACACAAACCCACCAGCTTGAGCAGAGCAGCTGGCGAAGGGTCAGGGCTCATTTAACTCCTTTCTTGCTCTCTGAGGGCCCCTTTTCTTAGGGGGACTTTAGACAAGGACAGGACAAGTTCAAGGACACTTACAGCTTTTGGCCATGAAATATGATGGCACACCATCTGCTTTCATCTCCTTTTCTAGCAGGGGTAGTCCCTCAACCGTAGAGAGCACAAATTATTGTCAGGTTGGACTCTGATAGTCTCTGTGTGGTGCTGAAGAGGCACCAAAAGGCCCACGGAGCTGCTGCAAGGGCTGGAGCAGCTCTGCTCTGGAGCCAGGCTGAGAGAGCTGGGCTGGGACAGCCTGGAGAAGAGAAGGCTCCTGAAGGGGAGACCTTAGAGCAGCTCCAGTGCCTAAAGGGGCTGCAGGAAACCTGGAGAGGGGCTTGGGACAAGGGATGTAGGGACAGGCCAAGGGGAATGGCTTGAACCTGCCAGAGGGGAGACTCTGCACTGCCCAGTGAGCAGGGCCTGGGTCAGACACCGGCAGCAGAAGCTGGGGGAAGGACAAGGAACAGCTTGGGAGCAGCAGGAAGAGTTAATGCAGTGCTGGCGACTGAACTGCATCACTCTGGTTCAGGCACCAGCACCCCGGGGCTGCAGCGCTGCCACCAAGGTCCCATCTCCCTGGGGACCGGGGGTGTTTTGGGGCTGGACGTCCAGGTCAGGCCAGTTCTGGGGGCTCAGGGAGGGCTTGGGGAGGCTCCGTGTTGTTTCTGGTCCAAGCCTGTGTCCAGGCACCGTTGTTTGGGCATCTCTGATGCCGCCTCCAAGACTTGTCTTGATGCTGCTTTGCTGCGATGCTTTTGTGTCCTGCCTGGCTGCGCTGGAGGCGTTGGATGTGCCCAGTGCTGTTTGGTGGGGGTTTATTTGGGTTCCTTGGATATGGAGCCAGGGAAGACGGTGTCCCAGTGTCCCAAGTGCCCTCTGAGCTGCGCACCCCGTCAGGGCTGCTCCCATCCACACCGTGCAGAGCACCCGAGGCCCTGCAGGCTCTCCCCTCCATGGATAACCTGGATTTTCCAGCTGGGAACAGGTTCCCAAGGGGCTGGGAAGGGCGGTGCAGGCTTGAGCGGCTGCCAGCAGGAGGGCACAGCCCTGCAGGGGCCGAGGAGCGGGGAAGCTCTTGTGGCACCCGCAGGGCTCCGGGGGAGCCGGGCTGCCCTGCCTGGCTCTGCTCCTATGGAAACCCACGGGAGGGCTTGGGGGTGTTTGCCACTGTAGCAGAAGGGGGCCTGGGCCAGGCGTTGCTGTAGCTCATGGATGATGCTCTTAAGGGTAACGGTTGCAGTGAGGGGGTTTCCTGTTGTTTTTCAACGTGATTTAAATCGAGGAGATGCAAAACCTCCTCCAACCGCCCCTTTGCGGTGTCAGCTCAGCCTTGCAGCAGCTAATTCAATAAAACCCCCAGTTCTTCCCCCAAAAAGAGCCCACACGTGGGTGTGAAGGAGCCCAACGGTGAGGTTTCTGCAACACAAAATTTGCCTGCGGCACTTCCCCATCCTGCCCAGCACCCAGGGGACCCTTTCCTGCATCACCCGCCCCTGGGTGCTGCGGTGCAATGGGGCTGGCACCCAGGGCCGCTTTGGGTATGGCTGGGCTGGGAGCAAAAGGTTGGATTGAGCAGTGGCTCAGCTGCAGTAGCTCCCTTCCAGCTGGAAGGTGGGATTCTGCAGGTGCACATTAACAGGTTCATTAACACCAGGTTAATGACTGAGCAGGGGCAATCCCGAGCTGCTGCGGGTTCACCTTCAAAGCTTCTGGTGCCATCAGCCGTGCTGGGGCTGGCCCAAGCTTTAACCTGCTTTTCAGTGCCACCGGTGGGACCAGTGCTGTGGGATGGTGGGATGCGGGAGGTGATGCTGGCTGGTGGAGGAGGGATGGGGCAGGCCTGTGCTTGTGCTGCCTGGTCGTGCGAGCTGTCTGTACCACCCCGTCCCATCCCATCCCATCCCTCTGAGCCGTGGACAGGTCCCCCAGCCCCGTGATGGCCAGTGATGATGGATTTGGGGATGGGGAAGGTGATGATGGATTCCCACGTGAGGGTGCCAGGGCCATGGGAAACGGGCAGCTCGCTCCCCGCAGCGGCCAGTTGCAGTTGGGTCTTGTCCCCTCAGTATCGGGGTCCAGTGGGTGCTTCAGTGCCTGAGCTGGGGGTGATGCGGGGGTACAAGGGGACCCAGGCAGCCTGGCGCAGTTCCCATTCCCTCTCCCAGGGCTGCAATTGAGCCCTTTGTCTTGTGAGCATCTGCCATCCCCGATGGTACCCGATGCCCTCCTGGCACACGGTGTTCACCGAGGAGCCGGGCCTCTGTGTCTCCAACGTGTCTTTGTGCTGTCCCTTCATGGGGCTTAACCTGCCTGGGGGATGGAGAGGAGGGCGATGGATGGGTCCTGCACCCCTTCCCCAGAGCCCTCCTCTGGGTGGCTGCGGTACCAAGGAGGGGGTGTCCCTGGCTGCCACCGGGTCCCCTCTCCCCAGCAAGCCCTGTAGCGCCTGTGCAGGTGCACAGGGGGGACCAGGAAGGACAAGGTCACCCTGGAGGGTGCCAGGACACCTCTGCCTGTGGTGCTGCTGCATGGTCCTGCCTGGTCACCCCTTTGCCTCCCCGATCCGGGCATGGCAGAGACCCCACCACCCAATCCCCATCCACCCCAGGGACAAACAGGAGCTCTGTGTCTGTTCCTTGGCTGTTCTTGTCCTGGAGCTTCAGCCTCCCCCTGCCCAGCCCCATCCAGCAGCTCCACACTGCCCCAAGAGCTTAGAACACACCAGCAGCAGCCTGCCTGCCCTGTGCCCGCATCTCGCTCACCCTCCAGCCAAAGGGACAAGGAACAGCCCCTTTATGCGGGTCCCAGCAGTGAAACCGTCCCCTGCAAGGGGTTTGGGGCTTGCTCTTTGCAGAGGGGTGTCCCTGTCATCACACTGCCTGGGACCCAGGTGCCAGCGGGAGCTGGGGGTCAGCACCCATCAGGATGTACAGGCCACGCTGGGTCCCTGCTTACGGGTGTTGGGTTGGGGATGGGGGATCCAGGACAAGGTCCACGGCTGCTGTACCCCGCTGTGTGTCTGCCTTCACCGGTGTCTCTCTCGTCCTAGTTCCCTTACGCTGCTCCACCTCCTCAGGAACCTGTGAAGACCCTCAGGAGCTTGATCAACATCCGCAAGGACACCCTGCGCCTCGTCAAGTGAGTCCTGTGGGGACAACAGGGGCAGGGTCCGGCTGGGTGCTCCGGGGGATGCTGAGCGCAGGGATGCTCGCACTGTGCATGGAGGGGATGAGCTTTTGCTGTCCAAACCTGCCCCATCCGCTGGCAGCTCGGGTGCTGGCGCTGCCTGCCTGTGGGATTAAAGGAGCTTAGTGCTGCCTTTGAAGTGCTTTGTGTTCCTCCCCCACCTTGCAAAGGCTTTGCTGGAGGGAGGCTGGGGCAGGAGATGTGGGATTGCAGCTGGAATCTGCTGCAGCACTTCCTGGTCCGCAGGCCTGGGTCTGCCCAGAGAAGCTGTGGCTGCCCCATCCCTGGCAGTGCTCAAGGCCAGGTTGGACACAGGGGCTTGGAGCAAGCTGCTCCAGTGGAAGGTGTTGGGGCTGGAGGAGCTTTAAGATCCCTTCCAACCCAAACCAGTCTGGGATCCTGTCACTTGGGGCACTCTGGACCTTCTTGGTGTGCCTCTGTTTCCCTTAGTGGATGGGGAAGCCCCTTTTGGGGCCACTGGTGCCAAGAGCAGCCTTGTGCAGGGGGTCAGTCCTGGGGCACCCTGAGCCATGCCTGGGATGTGCCCATCTCCCGCACCCCCTTGCCCCCCAGGTGCTCAGAGGAGGTGAAGACCCCGGGGGAGGAAGTCAGCAAGGCCAAGGTGCACTACAACGTGGAGTTCACCTTCGACACGGACGCCCGCGTGGCCATCACCATCTACTACCAGGCCAGCGAGGAGTTCCACAACGGGGTGGCGAGGTGAGGAGCCTGTGTCCCCCGCACCCCATGCCCTGTGTCCCCTGGCCAGGGTGTGTGGCTCCTCCTGATGGACACGGACCCTTTCCTCCCTGGAGCACTCCCCCCATCACATTGCTGAGGGCAGAGGGGGGTCTGCCACCTCCTTCCCTGCCCCATCCTGCCCCTCCTGGTCCCCACCAGCTTGGCTGCAGAGTCCCCTCGTGTCCCGTGTTGGCCCCTCTGGGGTTATTTTAACCCTTCTTAGGACTTAGCTCAGCCCCAAAGGCATCCACAGGGGATGGGATGGGAGCCCCCCCCTTTCCCATCTTCCCAGCATCCCCATGATCCGGGGGGACCCTGACTCTGTCCTCTCTCCATGGCACAGCTACGTCCCCCGGGACTCGAGCCTGCAGTCGGAGACAGTGCACTACAAGCGGGGGGTGTGCCAGCAGTTCTGTGTGCCCTCCCACACCATCGACCCCTCCGAGTGGAGCGAGGATGAGGTGGGTCCCAGCGGCAGCATCACCCATGGGCTCCGGGTGTGGTTGTGGATGCGGGGTGAAGCCTCCATCCCTGCTCCATCTCACCCAGCCTCTCCTGCTGTCTCCCTGCAGCTGGGCTTCGACCTGGACCGGGAGGTGTACCCCATGGTGGTGCAGGCGGTGGTGGATGAAGGAGAGGGTGAGGATGGGGTTCCTTGTGTGGGGTTGGCTTGCCCGGTGGCTGGCTTTGGGATGCCAACCCAGGGCAGAGCCTGCTGCTCGTCCTTGATGCCGCCGTGGCTCTGCCCATCCCCTAAGCCCTGCGCATCCCTCTGTGTCTTGCAGAGCACAGCGGCCACTGCCACGTGCTGCTGGCCACCTTCGAGAAGGTAAGTGCCACACTGGGACCATCCTCATCCTCCTCCCCTCTCACTTAGGGGGTGCAAGGGCCTGGAGGAGCCCTGCAGGGCTCAGGATGGTGCTGCTGGGATGGGGCTGCTTTGGGGCTGCTCCTGAAATTCTGGGACTAGCCCCTAATTTTAAGCATCACTTCTGAGGTGTTCGGTCTCACCCCTCATCTTCCTGCCTCCAACAAGTCTCCAGCCTTGGGTGTGAAATCCCACAGCTCCCTGGTCCCGGGTGTCAGGAAACTGCTGCGGAAGGGGATGGTTGGGAATGGGGACTGCTCCAGGGTGGTTTCAAAGGGGTCCCTGGGTGCTGACCCCGGTGCCACCCCTGTGCTCTCCTCCCTCCAGCACAGTGATGGCACCTTCTGCGTGAAGCCCCTCAAGCAGAAGCAAGTGGTGAGTGTCCAGGTGTCCCAGGGTGGTGGCAGCCCCTGCCCTGCGCACCCCAGGGTGACGAGGGCCTTTGAGGGGCAGCGACCCCAGTGTGGGCAGCGCCTGCCCCTGCCTCCCAGGAGCTTTTCCAGTGCAATCCTGAGTGCATTGATGCAAATGGATGGAGCAGGGAGCTGGGAGGGCCTTGTCTCTGCCCCTCACCCCTTCCCCATGGGCTTGCAGGTGGATGGTGTGAGCTACCTCCTGCAGGAGATCTATGGCATTGAGAACAAGTACAACACCCAGGACTGCAAAGTATGTGCCTGCATCCCACATCCCTTGGGCCTTCCCTTAGCCCCTGTTCCCTTCCCCTAGCACAGGTCCAGCCACTAGAACATGTCTGGGGAAGTCTGGAGCTGCAGGGGCTGTGTAGGTTGCTGGGGACACTTTGTGGTGGCATCCAAGCTGCTGGGGGCAGAAAGCTGCAGGATGGAGCCTTTTTACCCCCTTCCTTTTTGCCTCCTTCCTCTCCCCCATCCACTGTGGCTCCCTGGGAGGATGGTGGCTGGATCTCACTGGTTTAGGAGGGGCCAGTGAGCCTCAAAGCATGGGATGTGCCTCACGCTCTGCTTTATCTATGTAAAAGGTGGGGTGAAGGTTGCATCCCGCGGTGGGCACCTGATGCCTCCAGCCCCAGCTCCAGGAGGGAGGGACAAGGTCCCAGGGCTGGATGTCAACAGCAGGGAAGGGAGCTCCCGGGGCACCCACCCTTGTGGCAATGGGCTGGGAGCAGGCGCTGGAGCCGGTCCCGTGTGTGCCATGGGCAGGTGGCCGAGGACGAGGTGAGCGACAACAGCGCCGAGTGCGTGGTGTGCCTGTCGGACGTGCGGGACACGCTCATCCTGCCCTGCCGCCACCTCTGCCTCTGCAACACCTGCGCTGACACCCTGCGCTACCAGGCCAACAACTGCCCCATCTGCAGGCTGCGTAAGCACGGGCTGCCCGCCCTGGGAAGGGGCTGGGATGAGTGCGAGTGGGCTGGGAAGGGGCTGGCATCTCTCATACTGGGGCTGGAATGAGTGGGAAGGGGCTGGCATCTCTCATACTGGGGCTGGAATGACTGGGAAGGGGCTGGCATCTCTCATACTGGGGCTGGAATGAGTGGGAAGGGGCTGGCATCTCTCATACTGGGGTTGGAATGACTGGGAAGGGGCTGGGATGTCTGGGAAGGGGCTGGCATCTCTCATAGTGGGGCTGGAATGAGTGGGAAGGGGCTGGCATCTCTCATACTGGGGTTGGAATGACTGGGAAGGGGCTGGCATCTCTCATACTGGGGCTGGAATGACTGGGAAGGGGCTGGAGTGTCTGGGAATGGGCTGGCATCTCTGGGATTTCACTCGCATCTCCTCTCCTGGGGTTCTGGCTCAGCCTGCGTGCAGCGATGCTGTGCAGTGCAGGGAGGCCCCTCCTGGGAAGCGGGTGCTGTTCTGGGGGGTCTCTCATTCAGTACCAGTTTTCCCCCAACCTCTTGCCCCGCTGCCGCAGCTTTCCGAGCCTTGCTTCAAATCCGAGCCATGAGGAAGAAGCTGGGGCCCCTCTCGCCCACTGGCTTCAACCCCATCATCTCCTCACAGACCTCCGACTCTGAGGAGCATTCGGTCAGTGCCCGCGGGGCAGGGTTGGGATACGCGAGCTCCCCATGGCCAGGGTTTAGTTATTTAATGCAATTGATGTTCCACAAACTGCAGGCAGAGACTGCAAAAACAGGGCTTTAACTCGGGTGGGAGGAGCATGATTTGGGGCTTTCATTCATGCAGGGAGCTTGTCTGTTCCCTGGGGCTTAGCTTCTCCCTGGGGTATCCTGATCCCAGCCTGGAGAGGAGAAGCTGCGTGGAGACCTCAGAGCAACTTCCAGTGTCTAAAGGGGCTACAAGGATGCTGGAGAGGGGCTTGGGACAAGGGCCTGTAGGGACAGGGCAAGGGGAATGGCTTGAACCTGCCTGAGGGGAGACAGAGCTGAGCTCTTAGGCAGAAGCTCTTCCCTGTGAGGGTGCTGAGGCGCTGGCACAGGGTGCCCAGAGAAGCTGTGGCTGCCCCATCCCTGGCAGTGTTCAAGGCCAGGTTGGACACAGGGGCTTGGAGCAAGCTGCTCCAGTGGAAGGGGTCCCTGCTCGTGGCAGGGGTTGGAGCTGGAGCAGCTTTAGGGTCCCTTGAACCCAACCCCTCTGTGCCTCCCTGATCTCTCCGCAGTCCTCAGAGCACATCCCCCCGGGCTATGAGGTCGTGTCCCTGCTGGAGGCTCTCAATGGGCCGCTGATGCCATCCCCGGTGCCACTGCGCAGGCTGGGGGAGCCCCCGGGCGCGGGACCCCTGCCCTGCTATGATGGGTCCCTGCCCCCCCGGCGGGCTCTGTCACCCCTTGAGCGCGTCCCCGCCTGCGGCACCCCGGGACTCAAGGTGAAGAGGAGCATCTCCAAGTGAGTGCTGGGGCCGGGGGGCTCAGGGGTCTGGGGCTGTGGCAGGAGTGAAGCCCCTTGCTTTGCCCCCTCCGGGCAGGTCCATCTCGCAGGACTCCTCCATCCTGCCTGAAGAGGAGGATGAGAAGTCGTGCACCGAGTCGGAGCTGAGGGTCTCCAGGAGGAGATCCCCTGCCCGGTGCCAGGAGGTGAGCGCTCCCGAGCCATGGTGACGACCCAAGGCGCTGGGAGGGTGGCAAGTTCGGGGAGGTTTGGGAGCTGCCTGGGGTTTGCCCCTCCTGGCTCTTCCTCAACCCATGAGGATGCTGGGGGGAGATGGATCCATCCCTGCTCAGTGTCCCCCATCCCATCCTTCCCATGGGTTCTTCCAGGAGTGTGGTGCAACACCAGAGAGTGAAAACTTCACCCTGTCATCATCAGGAGCCATCGACCAGTCTTCGTGCACCGGGACACCCCTCTCCTCCACCATCTCGTCCCCAGAAGGTAGGGCACCATGGCAACGCAGCAGAGTGGTACCCAAATGTGGTTTGGGTTTGCATGGCCCCTTCCTGCCTCTGCTTCGTCACCCATAACACTGGAGATGGGGAAATGATCACCCTTGCTTCATCACCCATAGACCCAGAGGGATGCGAGTCCCATGACCTATGCTGGCAGCTTTCCACCCATCACACCTCAATGGCTCTTCCTTCTCCTCATTAGCCCCGTTGTGATTACCTGGTGCTGACCACTTGCATGGGTGGGCTGGGGGGCTCCAGTGGCCCCGCTCAGCCCCTTCTCTCCTGCAGAGCCCGTCAGCAGCAGCCTGGCCCAGTCCGTCATGTCCATGGCCTCCTCCCAGAGCCAGCACTCCCAGCTCAGCACCGACACCGTATCCTCCATGTCCGGCTCCTACATCACTCCTGGCACGGAGGAGGAAGAGGAGGAGGAAGGGGAAATGCTCCCCTCACCCGCAGGTGCCAGCGCCACAGCCTCTGACGGAGAGGTAGGGGCTGGGGGGGTTTGGTGGTGCCCATCACACCCAGGCTCAAGAGCTTCTCCTCCAAACCCCCAGCACCACGCTCTTGGTTCCTTTTCCCTTTCCATCTTTCCCACCTTATTCCCACAGTCGACGCCTGTGGAGTCCCCGGACATCAACTTCGTCAGCATCTCAGCCGAGGAGCGCGATGCCGAGGTAACCACAACTGCCTGGGGACGGGCTGGCACCGGCATGGCAGGGGGGCACCGGGGTCTGGGTGCCCCATGGAGGGGAAAGCTGGGTGCTGGGCTGGGGAAGGGGCTGCTGGAGCATCCGTGCCCTGGCAATGGATGGGGCAGTGGGGTTGTCCCCTACCCAGGAGCATCTTCCTGCTCCTTGGGTATCCCCAGGGCCAGGGATGTCATTCCCAAAGGGACACAGTGGTGGGACACTGTGGGATTGCTGATACTCACTGCCTCTCGCAGGGCAACGACGTGCTGGAGGATGAGGACGTGTCTCCCACCCAGGAAGATGGTAAAAGGCCCCGGGTCACTGTTGTCCCCTCACTCTCCGTTGGCTGTCACCGGTGGGCAGACGCTGGCTGTGCCCAGCTCCCCTGCCTGCCCCCTGCCACCCATGGGTGACTCCATGGGCACTGGGGCTGGGAAAGCATCCCAGTGGGGTCACCCATGGGTGGGTTGAACACCAGTGGTGGGGGGAATCCAGGCGGCCACAGGGACCCTGGTGAGCACAGTGTGGGATGTGCAACAGGTGATGGTTGGCATGCAGCATCCAATGGTGTTTCCATTGGGAAAGAGGCTCCTCTGTGATTTTTCCCTTTGCTAGGAAGATCTTTCCTTGCACCTCTGAAAGTCTCCCCCTTAGGGGTCCTGGTCTGGGCTGGTTCCCATAGGAAGGGGCTGCAAAACTTTCCCCTTTGGGATGCTTTCCTGACTTCTTTATGGCCTGTCCTCAATGTGCTTTCACAAGCCAACAAGTGTGCACTGAGGGCTCCTCTCACCTCCTCCCTTGTGCCCAAATAAGCCAAGGAAAGACGTGGTCACCCCTGTGCCTTCGGCCACCAGCCACGTTGGATTTCTGTTGGGCTATAGGGAGCCCCCCAGTGTGCCCTATCCCACGTTTTCAAGTCTCTGGTTAGCAAAACTGTGCCAAAGCAGTTCCCCCATCCAGCCTGGACACTCAGCTGAGCTGGAAAGCAGGAACACCCATCCCCAGAACCGGGCCTCTGCCTTCGAGGAGGCTCTTGCTGATGGGGAGACTTGTATATGACAACTGGGAGCGACCAGGGGCTGTGGTGGACATCCATGGGCATCCCAAGAACTCTGGGAGCAGGACGGCCTCTCTCCTTAGGACATGGTCCTGCATCTGTTTGCAATGGGGCTACTTATTTGGGAACATCCCTCCTGGGGTTTGCATCTGATGGATGCAAGTCAGAATCTGGAGGAGATCTCTTGTAGAGGTGATGCTCAAAAGCAGAGTTATCCCCCACGGCCTCCATCCCCCTGCAAAGCTTGGCTACAGCTTCTTCTGCCCCACGCATCCGGTTGCTGCCTCCTCCCGGCATCCCTGCAGCTCCCACACGCGCTGATGGTGATGGAGAGGCTCCAGCGGGAGGTGACGGTGACACCGTGACCCGGCTCTATTGACCGGGGAGCACCCGGCCGGGCCAGGGGGAGGTTTGGTGAACCCCGGGTTCACGTGTGCCCATCACCACATCGTTGCTGTTTCGCTGCCCTGCGATGCGGCCGGCGCAAGGAAAGGAGCAGCTGGGGCCGTTATTGTCCGCTCTTCACCCGCTCCCGGCTGCAGGCACCGCTTTAATGTCATTTTCTTCGGAAAGAGGGTGGGAAAGGGACAGGAAAAGAGCCCGAAATCCCAGCCCCCACTGCTGGAAAGGCCCCCGCGAGCCCCAGCGCTGAGCCGCGGCGTTAACTGCCTTAACTCCCTTCCAGGCCCGAGGACAGGCGCTTTCCTCGGTCTGAGCTGTGACAATAACAATGACTTGGGCATCGCACACGTGAAAGCGCTGGACAATAAACTGTGCTCTGAGGCCTGCTTACCTGGTGAGTGGCCGTCTGCTGAACATGAACTTGGGGCGGGGGGGACATTCCCACTCCTCCCTGCATCACCCCAGCCCTTGGCATCCACCCCTCCTCTCCTACCGCCATCCCCATCGTCCCCACCACCCCCCCCATCAGGTTGTCCTCACTGCACCAGGCATGTCAGCACCCAGCTGCAGGTCAGGGTGATCTGTCCCCATTGGGATGTCCCCAGGGCGTTGCAGGCTTGGATGCTTTGTCCCTTGGCCAGGGCACTGCTGGTACCCCAGCCCGCCCTGTGACAGCATTTGTGTGGCACAACTGCAGCCTGGTCCAGACCTATGTTGGGCACAGCAGTATTTTGGGTTGGGATGTGATCCACAGCCCATCCCGCCTTACAACCTGCCTCCCCTGCTCTTCTTCCAGGGGAGATGGGGGATGTCATGTTGGGCTGTCCTGCAGAGCCCCCATGTTCATCCCTCTTTCCCATTTCTCCATGCTTTCTTTTCCACCCTCCTTCCACTTCTGTTTCCTCCCACCCTCTCTCCATCCCTCTTTCCTTCCCCTCCTCCCTCCCATGCTCCTCTGTCCCTATGGAAGTTCATGTTCGCTCTGTGCCAACACGGTTTTCCCAACCCACGCTTGTGTCCCCCCTGCCCAGAGCTGCCCAAAGGTGACAAATGTATTGGTGACCCCGCTCCTCACGTGGGGGTCCCCTTTGCAGGATCCTCTTTGCCCGCCTGTTTGTGGAGGAAACACAGGGCAGGAAGCCCAGGTGAAGCCCTCTGAGGGTCCAGGTCTCCATCAATACATTTGTGGACAAGCTCAAAGCAACTCTGCCCCTGCCTTGCCCCTGTGCCTAAATCTGTGGCAGGTCCCAGACCCACAGTGGGTGCTGGAGAGCTGGGGGGGGGGGGAATCCTTTCTTTCCCCCCTCTCCTCTGGGAAGCTCCCTTTCCTGCTGCTTCCCCTGTTCCTGGTGGTTTCTGCGCTGGAGAAACATGGCTGAGGCTCCTGGGGAGGAACAGGCGCCTGCCACAGATGCTCTGTGTCCCCTCCATCACCCTCTGGCAGCCACTGGCTGAGCCCCACCGGTCTGGGGGGGGTGTCCCAGCAGCACCCCTACCTTTGCTGGGGGTCTCAGCAAAGCATCCCCCAGCTCTGGCACCGGCCAAAGCCATCTCCGACCATGTCCCACTTATACCAGGGGGAGGATGAGGAAGGGGCAGCTTTGCAGCCCTGGCACGGGTCTATCTTGCTCTGCTGTGAGGACTGCAATGGCCTTGTCCCCCTGCTGGGCTGGGGCTCAGGATGTGGCCCCTGGGTCGAGCTCAGCCAAGGATGCCCTCTCCATCCTTTGGGCACCGTGTGTGCGCTGCTTGGAGCCCTCGGCAGGGATGGGAAAGCATGAGAGGGATAAGCAGGAGCTGAGCAGAGCGGGGGCTTTGGGGCTGCCCGTGGTCACTGGGGGCCAGAGGGATCAACCCCAGGGATGTGGGCTCTGTGCTAAAGTGCTTGGAGCAGGATTCCCATGGGAAGAGCTTGGGGATCTGGAGCAGCGGAAGGGAGCAGCCGCCCGGGGTTTCCTGGTTGCGATCAGTGTTGGGTTTGTCCCTTAAACTCAGGGCAGCTCCTTCCTTCTCCAGTCCCTCTGCTCCTCCTGCCCCGGGGCATTTGGCCTCCTGCTGTGCTGGAGCCCCTGTGGGGCACCGTCGGAGCTGGTGGTGCTGGTTTGCAGTCGCAGGGCTGGTTTGCATGCACTGAAAAGTCCTTTTTGGCAGAGGTTTCTTGCAGGTCTGGATGTAACCACATCCCCGGGGCCAGCAAAAACAGGGGCAACTTCTACTCTGGGGCCAGGCACTGGTTTCTTGGAAGCCTAAAAGAAAATCACCTTGAGCAGAGACGACGACATCATTATTGTTGTTATTTGTTCCTCAGTTTCTCTTGTGGGGTTAGACCTGGGTAGACCCATGGGCTGGGTTTTGCTCTCTCTATCATGGATGAAGGTGCAGGATGGGGTTCCCCAAAGCTCTTGTGAAATCTCTGCAGGTTTCAGGCTGGTGGGAAAGGGCTTTGGGAGGAGTGGAAAGGCCACATCCTGGGACACAAGGTTTAAATCAAACCCGCAGACTTGTGTCCCTGTGGATCCTGCAGAGCCCTGGGTGAGCAGCAGGTGGCAGGGGCTGTCCCCATGGCTCAGAGCATCCTCT